GGAAGCTGGGCTGAATGAACACTGAGGTCCCAGAAGGTGACATGGGTTCCCAGAGGGCTCAGAGTTGGCAGGCCGAGCCTGAGATGAGCCCTGGGTCCCCTGACTTCTGGCACAGTGCTCATCACAGCAAAACCCGCTGCCAGGTTGGGCTGGGAGGCTGGGCAGGAATGAGGGGCTGGGGGAAGCCACTCCCATGGGAGGAGGGTGTCTGTGCTTCCATTTCATCCGGTGCCAATCTCCTTACACACCAGTCCTGGCCTCCCTCCCTCAAGGCTGTTGATCTCAGCGGGCTTGGGACCCAGAGACCAGCCTTGTCAGCGCTATGTATTGAGTAAGGAGGTTCTGAGCGAGAGAGCACATTGCATGCTTGGACTCGGGACAGTCTCCTTGGCAGCTCGGAGGCCGTCCCTGCTGATCTGCTGTTTCCAGGGGCTCTTCGGAGAGGTGAGGCTGCTGGCTGGCTGACCCCAGACAGGGGAGGCCGCTCACATCTAGTTCTGGCTGGCTCTGTGTTTGGCCCACTCCGTGGACCTCTCGGGACTGTGTTGGCTGGCACCACTCCCAGCCGCCAGAGCCACGGGGCCGATTCCACTGTGGCCAGCTTGAGAGCAGCTCCGTGGTTTTCCTGTGGCCAGGACCTGCGAGCCAGGTATCTGTGGTGAGCAGGCACTGGGCTGGCAGTGGGGCCAGAACGTCACCCGGCCACATCTTGGCGGGCGCCAGGGAAACCCAGCCCCCAGCTTTCTCATGAGCTCTATCTCCACGGAAAATATGAACCTCTCTGGACCAGGTCCAAACGCAGGGGATTCCATTGTTCTGGCTTCCGCCCCAGCGTTGGGGGACCCAGCCCCGGTCTGGCCTTTCTCCAGGCTCCCACAGGTCTTGGGACAACCGTGCAGGAGCCTCAACCCAGCCACCTCCCGGCCTGGGAGATGGACCCTGAGCAGGGCCTGGCCTGGCCTCCCCCTCCTTTGCAGATGCTTCCAAGGAGCTCAGACCTCGGTGCTCGTAGGACTCCCTCATCCCTGCGCTTCACTCACAAACTCTACATCCCTGGAGAGAAGGAAGGAGCGAGGGTGGGAGGGATGGAGGCCCTGAGGGAGGCCCTTTTACATGCAATCATATTTTGAGGGTGTGGGAGAGATTTACATAACTCTTTTAACCATTTTTAAGCATACAATTCAGCTGCATTTAGCACATGCACATTGTGGTGCAACTATCACCACTATCTTTTGAGGAAATCTCTTCATCACCTGGAAGAGTAACCGCATATTCACCAAGTACTCACTCCCCACCCCTCCCTCATCCCCTGGCAACCACTAACCCTCCTTCTGTCTCTAAGGATGTGCCTGTTCTGGACATTTCATGGGCCTGGAACCACACGATGTGTGGAGGTCTGTGTCTGGCTTCTCATTCAGCACCCTGTCTGAGGCTCCCTGTTGCGGTGGGTCAGCACCTCAGTCCTTTTCGTGGCTGTATAGTATTCCACTGTGTGGCTGGACCACAGCATGTTTCTCTGTTCATCAGCTTATGGACATGTGGGTTGTTTCCCCCATTGGGCCGATGTGAATAGTGCAGCTGTGTCCCAATATTTTATATACTTCTCTCATTCCTGGAAGCTAAGTATGACTATCCCTATTTTAGCTGAGAGCAGGGCAAAACTCACAGAGGACCTGAGATGTGGACATGGGATAGTTCATGTAAACAGAAGAGAAAGGAGAAGCCCTGATGATTTCGAGGATGGGGCCCAGGGGGGTAGAGCAGGCGCAAGCCCCAGGCACTCAGGGGCACCTGGCTCAGGGCTCCTGGCTGGTGACAGCCAGGATTGTCCTTCCTGTCCTCTTGGGTAAGCAGGACTGGGGCCTTCTGGTCCCCACGGTAGGTGGGATATCACAGCTCCTTATCATCGCCTGGGGCTGCTCCTGTAGCTGGGAGAGATCTAGCTATTTCCCATCTGTCACTTCCTTCTGAGTCACCCCTGAGTCATCGAAGGCTTATCCCCTACACCCCAGTCCATGGCCAGCACTGCACACCAAGTCTTCTCTGACTTGGGGCCACTGGGGCCGGCCCTACTTCAGGTCATCCTGTCTGTGGCTGATAGCTGGAGGCTGACCTGTGCTTCCCTAACTGGGTGTCGATCTCATGCCTCTTGAGCGATGGCAGGACCTGGGCCTCAGTTGCTCCATCTGCAGAGTGGGGCTAAAGGCCAGCCCCCAGCCACATGTCCAGGACAGGCAGGAAGAACCACACAGCCAATGCCGCCAGGTAAAAGGAGGGGGGCAGGCTTCCCTCATGCCCTGCCCCCCACACCTGGCATTTTCTCTCTCCCCCTCACCCTCCTGGGGCCCCTGAACCCCATTTTGCAGTTCAGGGGCAGGAGTAAAGACACGTTCTGAGGCTGAGAGGCAGGATGGGCTCCAGGCCTCTCTCCCAGCTTCCCGTGGCTCTGGCATTCCTCAGGGTTCTTTGACTTGAAGGCGCATCACCCGCATCTCTGCCTGTGTCTTTTACGGCGTTCTCCCCGTGTCTCTGTCTCTGCGTCGGTGTGTCCACGTCTCTCTTGCTATACAGCCGTCATTGCATTGGGGCCTCCATAATCTAGTGCGACCTCATCTTAACTTGATCACATCTACAGTGACCCTATTTCCAGACAAGATGACAGTCACAGGCACCAGGAAGTAGGCCTTGGACAGATCTTTGGGGGGAAGGGGACAATCCAATCCATTATACCAAGTTATCATTTTGTATAATGTTTGGGTCAGGCTTTCTGGAATTATCAGGAAAATGCACAATTTTGTGAGGCTTGCGGGAATCCAGAAAGGAGCTCCTGAACCCTGTGCCTCCCACGGAGACCCTGGTGGGCCTGCCACACCAGTGCTGGGGGCAAAGCCGGGGGTCCGTGGCTGTGTGATCTGCTGTTAATGACAGGAGCCAGGAACTGTGTCACTTAGGGATGGTGAGTGTGACCTCCCTCCCTCTGCCCCACCGTGATTCACCGAGTGGCGTCTGTAAATTATCCTGAGAGTAGAAACCATAGCTTTGCAAAGGCCTCTGCCCCACCCCTCCTGTGCCAGCTACCTTACCACAGGAAAACAGGCGAGTCAGGGCAGTGGGATGAGCAGATGGACGGCCTCCTGAGATGCTACTGCCCAGAGCTGTCCCTGCCTGCAGGAGCCCAGCCCAGCCTGCCCGGGGGGCCTGTCTGCTCACAGAGCTGGCTGAGCTGGAGCACAGCAGAGCCCCAGGTGTGGAACCTGTTTTTCAGAACTCAGGAGGTCCAGAAAGAGTGCCCCAGGGTGGAGAGGAGCCAGAGCCAAAAGGACACACCTACTGAACCTGGGTGCAGCAAGAGGGGTGCATTGGGGCCAAGCACCTACAGTGTCTGCAGCCTCCTCTGTCTCAGGGTTTGTGTCTCCACTTTAATAGCATGGAGACGCCCCAATAGGAAGTGTTGGCCGTGCAGCTCCACCATCTGTGCTCGGCCCTCCCTGGCAGTTGCCTGCGTTTCCAGGGCCGAGGATGCCAGGCTTTCTTGTAGGTATGGACCAAAGGCACCATCTACCCCCAGGCCCCCTTACAGCTTGTACTGGGCCACACTCTGACGTTCTGTGCCCTTTACACTCATCGTCCTTCCCTTTGACAGACGAGGACATTGTTGCACAGAGAGGTTAAGCCACTTGCCCAAGAGCACACAGCCCTAGGTAACCAAGCCAGGGTCTGAATCCAAGCCAGAGCATCCTCCTTTTACAGACAGGCCACTGGGCCCCTGGCTGGGCGCCCGGCCAGCGCGGCCCCCACGGGCCGAGCCCGCAGAAGCTTGATGAACGTGCAAGGGTGGAACTAACGGGCGCCCCGGGCCCGGCCCTTCTGCGGAGGGGGAGAGGGCGCTGGTCCTCCCGGCCTTCCCTGCCAAGCGCCCCGCAGCTGGGGGGAGGAGCCTGGGGCGGGGCCTCGCGCAACGAGCCAATGGCTGAGCGGGGGCG